TTGACTATTTAAGATAAGCAAATTCTCTATCCTTTGCATATTTATATCTATGTGATTGTGTATTAATCTTTGAACTGTATGTAATAAATGAAGACATATCAAAATTTTGGTGTATTGCTTCTAAGTGTTGTGGTGATGAAGACAATGTTTGTTTCTCTTCAAATATTTTGTCCTATTTAGGTTTTTATTTTTTAATGAGAAACTTTTGTTAATTTATTAATTATTATAACTTATGATTTTATGCTTATCATAAAATAAATTATATATTTATCAGAAAAAATTATCTTATCTAAGCACACTTGTATTTAAAATAAAATGACAAATAGAATATTTTGTATTTGAATCGATCTGGAATCTAAAATTTTGAAGACATTATGCCCTTATAAGTGTAAACATTTCTAAGGTTATTTAAGTCATTTTAACAGAAAAAGAGCTTATCAGCACTTTTTTATCAAATACTGCAGCAACTTATTATCAATTTCAGCACTTGTACCCAAACACGTAACTGCTTATTTATTAAATGAGTTTCAGCACTTAAAAGTGCTTTTCAGCACCTAATGCTTATCAGCTACTTCAAATCAGCTAACCCAAACGGGCTCTTTCTTTCCTAGCCTTTGAACGTAGATTTAGATTAAAAAAATAATTAAAAAGAGAGTTTTTGAAGTCGTATTGAAAAATAGTATTTTTTTGTTGTTGTTGAATTTGTGTTTGAAAATACATTTTTATTTAAATGAAGTTCCGTGAAGAAAAATTTTCATCCAAAAATTACCCCAAACCAGTTTTTGAAACTTAAAAATTTTTCTTCAATTATTTTTAGCTTTTGGGAGTAGTAATAGTGCAGACTAGTAACTTTTCAGCCCTTGTAATTGGAAAATAGCTACTGTCACGGAGTTTCAAATTTTACAAGTAAAACTCTACACAAAGTCCTGAAATTTCATTTGTGGAATTTGACACTCAATGGCAGTGGCTATTTTTCAATTGCAAGGATTAAAAGTGGCTATTTATGAATTTTTTCCCCTTTCGGGATGAGATTGGGCCGAAGTCCACCCAACTATCCCTTTTGGGATGGGATTTGGGCCGAAGAGAACAAGAAAGTGACAGTTGACTGCTAAACTAGAGACATAAATTACGCATTTACACGAAGTAAAAATAAGAAAATTATTACTTTTCAGATCATTCTAGGTGGAATATTAATTTTTCATAGAAAGAAAATGGAAACGTTATAGCATTCTTATATTTGACCACAAAGCTTGATTTATAATATATACAGTCAAACCTTTCTATAACAACCTCGTTTGATCCAGATATTTTTGGTTGTTATACTGAAGTGCTGTTATAAAGAACATATATTATAACATAAAATGAAAATTGGTTACGAAAATTGATTTTTATAATAAAGTATTATTATATAGAGATGTTGTTATAGATAGGTTTGACAGTACTACTATCTGCCAAGTCGACATATGAAGATATTAAGGTGAGTACTCTGATTCTTTCATTTCGAGTTGGATGCTTAGAAAAATGATCTAGAGGATCGAGGAGAGTTCATGTGCTACATATCCCATTTTACTTGGCTGAGTTTCTAATAAATCTTGGAAAAATAAGTGTTTGTCGCATAACTATTCATCAATGATTATAATTGAGAAATTTAAAATTACTCTGAGATTTGAACTATATTTCATACTGTAGCTTATATTCTGAATAAGAAATGAGAGAAGGGCAACATTATAAATGTTGTATGAAAATTACTTTGACTTTACCAGATAAGCCAAAAACTGTTTGTCTTAAAACTTTGTTCAAGGCTTGTAGCCGGCAGGGGTGGATTTAGGGGGCGCAAGGGTGTTCACTAGGGATGGGCATAGTTTGGGCAAACCCGAAATCCAAACCGAAATCCAAATTTTTTAAACTTTTGGTTTGGATTTTCGGATTACGGATTGGATTTTGGATTTACTTTTTAAATTTTTTGAATTTCGGATTGGACGATGGATTTGGTACTTTGGATTTTTGGATATCCGAAAATTCGAAAATTTTATACTTTGTATTTAGTCCATTATCTATATGTCAATAATAATAAGTTAAATACCATATCCATTAAATATTATTTTATATATGCAATATTAATTACTAAGTTACTGTCATAATACTTTCTATTTGGACATGGTTTTACTATTACTACTTCTTATCGGCCGTATTAATGTCTCTGTTACATTTTATTGATAGTAATTTCATTACTTGAATACTTTATTTGGATGATTGCAGTGAGAATGAGTAACTTTTCAGGCAATTTAATATGAGTACTTCATTTGGATATTCATTTTTGTAAAAAGAAGAAACATGTCAACTTATAAGCTCAAAATCGAAAATCCAAAATATCCAACCCGATTAATCCGAAACCGAACTCAAAAAATTTGATCCAATCCGAGCTTATTTGGATTGGATTTGGATTGTCATTTCTTCAATCCGAAAATCGAAAATCCAACCCGAAATTCTATATTTAATCCGAACTGCCCGAACGCCCACCCCTAGTGTTCACCCGAACACCCTTCGCCCAAAAATTACACTGTATATATAAGGCAAAATCTGTTTTTTACTTCTATATATTAAGTTTTGAACACTCTTAACACAATCCAAAAGTGTAGTTTAGTGGTCAAGGGGGTTCAAAATTTACATAAGATCGTGGGTTCAATTCCCACTAGCTACAAAAATATTTTTTTGAACCCCTTCGTGAAGATCCTGGCTCCGCCATGCTTGTAGGGTGCAAAAACAATTTATTGAGCACCATTTCTTTTAAATAGAAAGGTGTTCTGACTCTATTGTATCACGTCATAATCTAAGCCTTATACTAATAGACTACTATAGAGTGACAGATAACGAATAACCAGAATGCATATATATTAATAAGAAAAAGAAAACTAAGAGAGTTGGCAAAAACTACACATTGACTGATGGTTGGATGAAGCCATACCATCAGGTTGTGATTGCTTTGATGGTTGCAATGACTTTCATTCACCAGCAACCTAATATAGTCAAACTTTTTTATAACAATATTTTTATATAACAACTACTTATTATAAAAGTCAATTTTTTTCGGAATCAATTTTTTTTTTTGGTAATTCAAATATTATTAATTTTCAAAGCAACAAATTACAATGTATAAGGCTAACTCAGCCTGTATGTGAATCACTGCTATATGCATCTCTTCTATACCCCCCGCCTCTTTGACCTATCTTACATGATAGTACTACTACTTTCCTCCTCCTATATGAACTTGTATTGTAATACTTCTTTGAGTTTACCAACAGATCTAATGTTACAAATGTAGATAATTTCTCTAACAATGCTTTGTCTATCCCTATGAATCTTCTCAAAAACTCTATGATTTCTCTCCACCCATATGCTATACAATGTTTCAGCTAGTATCATTCTCAGCAGCTGCCCTTCAGTTGATTTCTTCTTTGCTTTTTCCACAAACCAGCATATTAATTGACTCCATGTATTTGCTGGCACTTGTATTTGCATCCATTTGAATATGTCATTCCATATTTCCATGATGATAGTACAATAATAGAATAAATGGTGATGGTTCTCTGGTTGACAATTATAGAATACACATGTAGTATCCACAGTCATGCTCCATTTACTCAGTCTGTCAGCAGTCAACATCCTTTCCTGTATGATCAGCCACATAGAGAATACCGCTACAAATATATTTGCTTGATGACACTACCTTTGTCTCCTTGTCTTTGTATATGTGGACTTGGCCCTTTAATAGTCAAAATCTTTTGTACCATCCAACTTGCTTGTTTAGCCCCTTTGATGTTCGATATAGGCTGCCCCTTTATATGGTACATATGCAACCATTTGATCCACAGTCTGTCAGCTTTTGATGTTAAATCCCAATGCAATTTGAGAATGGCTGCTCTGTTCCATTTCTTAAGATTCAGAATATTTAAACCTCCTGAACTCTTTGGTTTGCATACCTGCAGTAAGCTTCAATAGTTATGATCACCTTGGCTGGTATCAGAAACTTTTGATCAATAAGACTGAATTCCAGACAGCACAGCTCTTATAAGTTGAATTCTTCCATCATATGACAATTTCTTTGCAATCCAGGATGATATTCTTGCTACTATTTTATCAATCAAAGGTTGCCATTGAGTCACCTTCATCTTCCTAGTAGCTAATGGAACTCCCAGGTATTTGAATGGTAATTCACCTCTTATGTATCTCAACTGTTGAAGTATGGCTTCCTGTTCTTCATCAGTCACCCCACCAAAGTACACTGAACTCTTGTTTAGGTTAGCTTTAAGACCAGAAGCTGCAGAGAATTGATCAAAACATTGCTTCATCATTACCACCGATTGTTTATCCCCCTAGCAAATAATAACAGGTCATCTGCAAAGCTCAAATGAGTGATGCCTAGCTTCTTGAATTTTGGATGAAAGTGGAATTGCTTCTTGTCCTTCAACTCTGCCAGCAGCCTACTTAGATATTCCATAGCTAGAGCAAACAAAAAAGGTGACATTGGGTCACCCCGTCTGAGTCCTTTTGCAGCAGGAAAGGGCTCAGCCAATTCACCATTAATCAAAATAGAATAGCTCACACTTTGGATACAAGTTGTTACCCATTGTGTGAACCTGTGAGGACATCCTAAACCTTCCATGATTTGTAGCACATAACTCCATTCAACACTATCATATGCTTTCTGCAAGACTACTTTAATCATGCATCTAGGAGATATATGCTTCCTTGAATAAGCTCTAATCAGTTCATTAGCTAATATAGTGTTATCTGCTCCTTTTCTTTCAGGTATAAAACTAGCTTGAGCCTCATCAATTAAGAAACTCATAACTTTTTGTAGCCTTGATGCTAAGAGTTTAGGAATGATATTATATAACACTGAGCAACAAGATATAGGTCTATAGTCTTTGATAGTAGCAGGGTTAGGAACCTTGGGTAATAAAGTAACAGTTGTACAGTTAATGATCCTGGGCATCCTACCCGTTTCAAAGAACTCCATTACAGCATCATAGACATCAACCTTCATTATCTCCCATGCTTTTTTGAAAAACACTGCATTGTACCCATCAACACCAGATGCTTTATCATTTCCAATAGCATGTAAGCAATCATTAATTTCCTGCCTAGTTATATCTTTGATCAATTCCATAGTTTGTTGATGGTTCAGTTTAGGTCCCTTCTTCATTTTTTGCTTATTAACAGCAGGTAACTGATTAACAGCAGTCCCCATAAGAGATTTATAAAACTCCACAATCTCCCTCTTAATACTCTTAGGCTCTGTCCGGATTGCACCATTCCATGCTGTTAAGGTTGTAATATTTTTCCTGCATGCTCTTTCTTTCATCACTACAAAGAAGTACTTGTTGTTTCCATCACCTATATTGATCCATTGGGCTCTTGATTTCTGCTGAAGTATCTTTTCTTCAATGCGTGACCATTTTTCTAGCTGATCTCTAGCTTCCTTCTCCATCATCCTTAGTTGGTCTGTGTATCCTTTCTTTATTTCTTGTTGGCATTCAATTATATCTCTTCTTGCTTGTTCAATTTTCACTGCTGCTTCCCTAAAATTCATGTTATTCAAATTCTTAAAATCTGTTTTCATAGCTTTCAATCTGTTCCAGATAGTTACTAGCTTGCAATATTGTTGCTTCCCTTGCCATCCCTTAGTAACAATACTTTGAAATGCCTTATGGCCAGCCCAAACATTCAAAAACCTAAAGGGTATTTTGATACTGTTATTTCTTCTTTGAAATCTCAGTGATAGAGGAGAATGAACTGATATAAATAGATCTCCAATTTCCACTGTTAGATGCCCAAACTTCATCATCCATTCACCATTCCCCAAAGCTCTATCAATTCTGCTAATTACTCTATCCACTCCCATTTGTCCATTTGTCCATGTGAAGTAATCTCCCCTCCAAGGAATTTCAGTTGTCATAGTATCTGAACAGAACTCTGCAAAGTCTTGAATATCAGCCATTGTTACTTCATGCCTTGATACTCTATCTTGAATAGACATAGTTGCATTAAAATCCCCCCATATGAGCCATGGTTGATTCATAGATTGAGCCAACATCCTAAGTTTTTGCCACATTTCCTTTTCTCATTTCTACATTGTTGTATCCATATACCACAGTCATAGCACAACAAACATTAGTGCTAGTAACATTACAATGTATTAACTGAGCATCTATTAGTACTACATGTAAGCACGTGATTTTTGCCCTATATGAAATACTCCCACAAAATCCAAGAAAATAGATATTTTCTTAATTATTTACCATTTTTAGGAATTTTTATTAATTGTTTGCATTTTTCTTGCATGTTTAAGTTTTATTAAAATCATGAAATATCAAAAAATATCATGCTTTGCATTTAGGTTTTATTTTTACATTTTAGGATTAATTAGTTAATTATTTATTTTATAAAAATTGAAAATCACAAAAAATGCTTCATCTTTACACTTTTTCCTTTTATTAATTTTTCCCTTTTGATTTAGGATTAACTAATTTTTATAATTAGCTAATTAATTTAATTTCACATTTTGGATAATTTAGGATTTTTAATTTGTAAGATTCTTATAAAAAAAAGAAGGAAAATTTAGAAAATAAAAGAAAAATTAGATAAAAGAAAGTTGTCTTATTTTTGAATTGGGCCAAGGCTCAAGAGGCCCAAGAAAAGTTAAATTCGCCCCAAACCCACCTGTCAACCCGCGACCCGACTCGCCTAGCCCATAACCTAATCCCTTCCCCATTAAAAGGATTGAAGGCATCAGATGAGGGAGGGAGACAGGCGAAGAACGTGAACCGGCCCTCCCCATTTTCCATCCCAGCGCTATTTCTCCTCTCCTTCTTCGTTCTCTTTTTTTCACTTTGGGAGAGCAGAACAACGACGTGGTTCCCCTCTGAAAAGCCCTAGAAAAACTAAAATTCCGATTCTTCTGTGTTACTTCATAACTGTTGGCTTTTCATTTTTGATGTTTGGATTTGAAATTGAAGTTTGGTTGTTGGTTTCCTGCTGTTGAATCTTCTAACTAGCAGCTGAACTCTCATTTCCATTTTTGACCTTTATTTGGTCGAGTTCTTCTGTTGGTTTCTGCTGCTAGAGGATTTCGAGGTTCATCTTCCATTTCTGGATTTACAGCAATTAGAGGTTGCTGATGAGTTCTTTGTTGCTGGTTTAGCTTGCTCGAGTTTGCTCGTTGAATTTCCCTCTTTGTAATCCAGAAATTTTCATATATAAAAGCATTTATTTGATTCCTGTTGCGGCCATCTTCAGCTTAGACTTTGAATTTGTTGCTCAAATAGTTGCCGTTCATTAGAGGTGCTTCGGTTCATGTTAGAATTGAGATTTGCGCAGCATCATTTGATTGCAGACATACAGAAATGGGATTTGCTGCCTTCTGCTGTTGTTAAGCTCATTTCTCGTGTAGTTTCTTATTTGGCATTTTGGAATTAATCTCTCCACAAACAGGTACCCTCCTATGACTTTAGGCCAGTTTTATGTCAAAAACGAGTGAATTCCTTTGTCTTTAATGAATTTCTCGTTAATTGTTTTTTATACAATTTACCTTTCCTGATAATGCTATACGATTTGCCGGTGTTTTGGATAGAGTGGAGCTCTCATTTCACATAGTAACAAATTACTACAAATAAGCAATTAATGGGTTGAAATCATTTTGTTCAATGTCCTTGTCATGTTAGTAATCTGTAGCACTTAACCCATTCCTGTTGATGTGATCTTAAGGTGATTGTTTTGTGCAGCAGTCATGATTAGTTAAAAAGAAAAATGAAGATTGTTGAATATTGAATCTGGATATGTAATTATAGAGAGTTGTTTGTTGTAGCCTAATCAATTCAAATAATGATTGAGTATATTCTTTTACATAATATGTGTGTTGTGTTTTCTCGCAAGTCTATCTCTTGACTTCCATGTGTGTAACAATTGGTATTTTGAATTAATTTGTTTTGATTAAGTGGGAACAAATTGAGAGCTGAATTTTGCAAAGCCTGTTGATACTAAGAAAATCTCGCAAAACTTGATTAAAAAAGGGACCCATGCAAACCTGTTGATCACATCTTTTCCCAATGAAATTTCATACCGTTTGGACCCTTATGCAATCTCAAAGGTAGTTCAGAAAAATAATTCATTAACACTGTAGTTTGTTTTAGGCATGCAATTAAATCATTAGAACTACGGGTACGGCTCCAGTAGTGTAGTTGTGATACCTAAGTTCAATTTAGTTTTAAATATGAAGCTCTTTAGTTTGCTTTAATTGGGGACAATCCTTTTGAAATAAATTGAGGCGTGCCATGCCAAATAAAATTCCTAAGCCCATGGCCCTCACTTAGTTAGTTTTAACTCTTTAGAAATCAAGGTGCCATTAGTTGAATTTTCCATGGCCCTCGCAAACTTGAAAGTGCGTAGATGCTTTAGGCGTGCTATTTAAATTAATTTCCTTAAACTCGGGTGTGCATTCCATGTGACCCAAATCCAAATCCTAAAACGTTGAATAAAATGTGTCGAGGATCCGGGTGCATTTCATGCGACGTGATCCGAAAACATGTTTTAAACGACGTTCAATTTCATAAAAAATTAATTAAAAGCGGTAAGTAATATTAAAATTCCACTATAGGATGACATGTATAAAATTAGATTTTTAGCCAATTATAATAGTTTAAGCGACCGTGCTAGAACCACGGGATCCGGGGGTGCCTAACACCTTCCTTCGGGTCAACAGAATTCCTTACTTAGAATTTCTGGTTCGCAGACTCCATTCGGGAAGTCGAAATTTTCCTCGATTTGGGATTCAAGATAAATCGGTGACTTGGGACACCAAAAGCCAAACCTATCCCAAGTGGCGACTCTGAAACAAATAAATAATCCCATTTCGAATAATGTCACTTTAAATGGAAAAACTCCCTTATACATTACCTTTCGGGGTAGGTGTGTATAAAAGGAGGTGTGACACTACATCCATATGCCAAATGTTCTTGTCAAACATGATCCATATTCTACCATTAGCTCCTTGATCATAATTATGCACCAATTCCCAGTGTTCTGCAATCTTAGGGGCAATTACAAAAGCTTTATGATGTTTAATTCCGGTCTCCACTAATCCAGCTAGAGAATATGTTTGTCTTTGATGTATTTAGCTAACTCCTTCTATTTATATCTTTGATTTGTCCCCCTTACATTCCACATAAACATTGTCAATTGGATTGTTCATTTGTACCACCTCTATCTGGTGGTTGTTTATCCTCTTGTCCTCCTGCTAGAATTCCAAATGCATTTTGTGTGGCAACTGAAAAATCCACACCAGTCACAG